TATTTAAAAGACATCTTACGGCCAAAAACTTTATCCACGGTAAAATTATGTTAAAGGAAAAAAAAGAACAGATTGAAAATACAAGCGCGATACATCATACACTGAACAATTTGCATCTTATTTTCTCAGCCAAAATTTTGCGTAATTCACGATGAGTTATTTTTTCTTTTTTCAGATTGCTTAAGTTGAAATTTGCATCTTTTTCTCAAATATTTCCCACATTAATTTTGCCCCTTTGATTTTCGCATTTTTTTTTCTTTCAAATTGGAGATTTTGTTTTCATCCAATTTTTTTCTTCAAGTTTTTAAGCTTTCCCTGTTCTTCGGATTTTTTATCTACAGATGAAGTCTCTGTCTTTTCTGCTTTGAAGAGGTCGATTTATTTCTTTTCTTTATTTGTTCTAATAAAACGATTTTGTAAGAAAAAATAAGAAAATTAACAGCCCTTAGATAATTGACCGTATAATCCAATGGTCACTTTAAAACACAGCAGAGCTTGCTGTTAAAATGCGCACTGCAGAGCCCCTGGATCCTTTATATTGCATTTATTTCATGTGGTAAATCTGTAATTTGCAAGAAATTTAATAGATGCACATTAATGATAAGTAAATGCACAATGTGTGTGTTGCTCAAATTGTACCTCGACTGGGTTGAGCCGTGCCTAGCTGGTTTTGAACTGGCCTAATGCCTTTGATGATCTGCAAAACGCCGGGAAAGGTCCCAGCGAAAGACACTCCGACGCCCAGTCAATTTAAAATTCAGCCAGTATAAAATCGATAGAATTTAAATTCGCGCGTGTAATGTATGTTATGTAAAAATAATGAACTTGTGTTCTTTTATAAGTGAGGTTGTGCCTGAGCTGAAGAGTTTTTGCTAAACCAGAAGTTTTTTCTATGTCAACCTCTAAGTTAGGTTAGATATCTCAGATCTTCAGAGTCTTATTGCTACAAACTTCCTCATGACTTGATCACGAAGCCACCTCCAAGCCCTAGTCCCTTCGGCAGAAACCTTTGGCCGAGGTGCCAAGGTGCCGAGATGCCTAGGTGTCGGGGTGCCTAAGCGCCAGACTGTCTAGGTGATCACATCCGCTTAGCTCATCAATCTCTGGTGTTCCGACGGAGTGCTTACGCCAAGCTAGTCCCGTCTAGCTCATACTCATCGGAAACCCGTACTCACACATGCAAGCCCCCTAACTTCTTCTCAATATAACTGTGACTAAACTCGGATCACGACAAGTCTTTGACGAACCAACTACTGCAGTTGTATCATCTAGCCCCCCCATTTTTCGGTCGATCTATGGGTAGCTCGACCAAGAATATGATTTCTTCAACCCCCCTTTGTCTGTCGACCAAATTTCATCAACTCATCACGTGAGCTCCGACTGTCTCATGCTAGGTCGATTTGCCCAAACCGTTTTCTTATTTTTTTATTTTAAATTTGCGGTAAACCGAAACCGCACTGCACCGAACCAAAAATTTCGGTGCAATTTCGGTTCGGTTTTTCTATATGTTTCGGTGCGGTTCGGTTTGGGTGAGTAAAAGAATTTGGTTTTCGGTTTTATTAGAATATTCACTTGTGAGCAGTGTTCTAAAAGTCGTTAGGTGCCCGCGAGTAGTCGGGGCCTAAAAATCAATATTAAGTACCTTATTTTTTATTTATTTTAACTACCTACAAAATAAAATTATTTCAACTTATGATAAATCGACACACCTAAGTCCAAAAATAATATTAATATATTTTAAAGAAAATTTAAGAACAAAATAATGTATTAGTATTTAAAAAAAAAAAACTGAAACATTGTCGCCGAGCCCACCTAGGAGCGTCTAGGTCCGCCTATGCCCGCCTAGGCGCCGCCTAACCACCCGCTGAGCCCGCGCGCCTAGGTGCCGCCTAGCCACCTAATCGATTTTCTGTCGATTTGTGCAAATCGGAGGCGCCCGATCACCGCCTAGGCCCCCTAGGCCGATTTTTAGAACAGTGCTTGTGAGTTATCCCTTATTATTTATATAGGAAAAGTAGACCTAATTTATAAGTCTAATGGTCTACTCCTCCTTCCACTAATTGGTTTTGGGATGGAACCTCACTTGGGCTTCATCTAGGCTTTCATTGTCTTGGTGCGCTTCATCTGCATGGGACCACACTCGTTTTTCCCCCCGTTTCTTACATGGTATCAGAGTCGGTTCTATTGGGACCGTGTGATAACGTACCCGTTTTCCGCCACGTACCTGTTTATGGAAGTCTGTTTCTAGTAGGGCTTGGGCACCCAGCTCCGTATATGGGCTTGGGCTTTCTTATTAAGGACTCACAAGTGAGGGGACGTATTAGAATATTCACTTGTGAGTTGTCCCACATTGTTTATATAGGGATGTGAATGACGTGGTATCAGAACCACGATTGGTAGCCCAGTTGCGATGTAGATGACGTAGTATGTTCCCAGTGGAGCTAGTGGACGGTTGGTGGATCCGTGTGCCTTGTGTCGAAAGTCTTCCTGGTGAAAGGGTAGTCAGGCGGCGGGTTCCGTGGGTGATAACGGCGGCACAAGATGGCCGGATCGTATGAATTTTGTTCAAGGGAAGGCCCAATGTGGTTTTGTGTTTGAGGGGAGGTTTGTAGGGTGTGCAAACTCATTCCCACATCGAAAAATTAATGGTTCCAAGTCCAATATATAAGTTTGGTGGGCTACTCCTTCTATCACCAATTGGTTTTGGGATGGAGCCTCCCTTGGGCTTCATCTGGGCTTTCCCTGTTATAGTGTACTTCACATGCGTGGGACTGCACCCGTTTCCTCCCCGTTTCTTACAGGTTTTTTGCGGTTCGATGTGATTTGCATCGAACCGCACCATGCCACCCCTAGATATAGGTTCAGGGCCCTATGACCACGAAAGGGAAGACCGTACAAAGTAGGTAAATTCCACAATAGAGAGGTAAGACTCATTTAATACATTATTAAACATTATTTTTGTACACACCTTGGGACTGACCAGACCGAAACGGGTCAGAAGTATGAGATATTGACTTGAGCGTTGGAAGGTCGTGCGCCGGAGCAATTTCGATGCTTTTGCTGGTACTGGCGTGCTCACGGACTTGGACCGCACCGAACCGGTAGATCCACGTTCGTATCGGAGAAGACCTTTCGGAAGACCAAAATCATTCATCTCGTACCATATCAACGCTGATTAAAAAAGGTGTAAAATAAATGTTAGTCTTATTGCTTGTTATCTTAAACACATACAACTTTAAAAAATAACTCATTTAATATTTCTATATAAGTTAGTTCTTACATAAACAAATGATCAATTTTATAATTCAATCACTGTTTTGGTGAGGGAGTGCGGGCGTGCTTCCGAATAACCAGAAACTTTAGGGACTCGTCTCGGTTGTTAGGACGCGTGTGATACTGTGATCGTTCCGAAATATGTGCCCTTCTCTTCATACAATACTTGCACATTTAATCATTATTAATTATTGTCCTTATTTAGAGTCTTTTGTACTATTATAATTAGACAGACTTTTATTATCATGACGTGTTATCCTTCCCATTGGATAAGTTTCTATCCTTTTCCTGATCCAATGGGAAGTGGGAACAAGAGTTACATTTTATTCCAATAATACCCTCATCTCATAATTGGACTTTAGATTTATTTTCTTCTAATATATCAATCAAATACATCTTACAAATTGTTTACCCAAAAAAAAAGTCAAAAAAAGGAAAATAAAAAGAGTAAATTATAACTTTAGTCATGTATGTTTTCCTACTTTAACTTTTTTGTACTTTTCGAATTGCGTTTTTTTATTTTCGTCCTGTATGTTTGACAAAAAATTACACAAATGTACTTTTCATCTGTGTTCTAGAAGTCGCTAGGCGCCCGCTAGGCGCCCGACCAGCGCCTAGCGCCTAGAGCGCCTAGTCGGGGTCTAGGCGGCGCCTAGGCGGGGTTTAGAAATTATAACAAATATATTATTTTTTATTTATTTTTACAATTTCACTAATAAAATTATAACTTATAGTTAATAAATCCATACACCTAAGTCCCAATAATATTGATAATATTATATTATAAAAAAACTCCAAGTCAAAATAAGTACATAACCACAATATAACTTCTTTTCATTGTAATTTTATCAAACACATTATGTACATGTTATGTTTTAAATACTACACAACACAAGATAAATATAAAAAATTATAATATAATAAATTATAAGATTTATTATTTAAACTAAATGCATTTAATAAAAAAAATAAAAATAAAAAAAAAATTGTAAAAGCCGCCTAGAACTTGCCTCGGCCGCCTAGAATCCACCTCAGCCGCCTAGTCCTGCCGAAACTGCGTAGCCGCCGAGGCCGCCTAGCTCCGCCTAGGCCTGACTAGGCGCCGCCGAGCCCGCCCGGCCGATTTTTATGGCCGATTTGGCCAAATCGTAGGCGTTGTACCGACGCCTAGCGCCTAGGCCGACTTTTCGAACACTGCTTTTCATATACAAGGCGAAATTGGAACACTTTTTTGCAAAACATAAAAGACATTTTTGTTGCGAAAAAGGACCTTTTTGTAACTTTTTTTTCAAACATACTGGACGAAAATAAAAAAACACAATTCGAAGAGGGCGAAAAAGTTACTCCCTCCGTTTACTATTAGATGTCGTTTTGACTTTTTTGATTCATCCATTTTGCTATGTATCTAGACAAAATTGTCTAAATACATAGCAAAATGGATGAATCAAAAAAATCAAAACGATATCTAATAGTAAACGAAGGGAGTATGAAATTGTAATTTACTCAAAAAAAATCACTAGTTTTCGAAAATAAAAGGGTATTTTGGTCAAACTCTCCGACATCATCCCCTGGAAAATTTCCTTTTCTTTGTTCTTTAAAAACCACCATTTTGATCGCAATTTCTCTTCATACCATTTCTGACAAATCTGCGTCTCAGTTGAAGTAGAGTGAGAAGATCAAGAAACTGTGCAAAGCCCTCCTTAGATTCTATCTTCCATCGGAGGAAAATGCTGGCAGTTTTCGAGAAATCGGTGGCGAAAAGCCCTGATGCCCTGCTGCAAAACGCACAAACTGAATCTATTTGCGCCCTCAAAGATGGATCTTTGGCCAACCATTTCTCGTCCGTACACCCGACCGCCGTCCTCATCAACCTCGGATCTTCTGGTTTCATGGCCTACTCATCGGACAAACAGAACCCTCTTCTTCCTAGGTCTGTAAGATGTCGATCATTCTTCAATATGATCTTTTTTCTTTCTTTTTGTGTAATCGGGGCTTTTTATGTTTGTTCTTTGTGGATATTTTTGTGATGCGTACATGGGGTAATATATTTTTCTGTTTTTTGTCGTTTCTGTGTGTTTTGTGTGAGAATTGATGAATGAACATTCTGGGAAAAAAAAAAAAAAGAAAAGATGATCTTTAGTTAGGAGTGTAGATCTTACATTGCTTTGTTTTGTTTTGTTTCTTCATTCCACGGTTGTTATGTTCTAGTAGGTGATGAGAATGTTTGTAGTGGTTTGTACATGATCAGTAACTCTTGTCGTGGATCTTTCATCAACTCGGTGTTATATGTTCCATGGTGGATCGTGTTTGTTGGATGATATATTTCAGTGCTTTATCATTGTTTTTATAAATTTCGTGTTGGTTGTGTGTCTTCTGCTTTTTTGATCAACTATAATGCAATATTGTGGTATGTGATTGATTTGGTGATTTTAACCAAAACATCGATATTCTTAAAAATTCAACATTGCTGCCCTTTTGCAATTTGAGTTTATTTGTTCTTGATTTCTCAGCCAAAACATAATATTGTGCTCAGTTAGATTTGTCCCTATTAGCAGTCTTTGGTTCTTCACCAATGGTTAGAAATTAGAATCACCTCCTATATTTTCTGTTTTCTTTTTATTTTTGGTTTCTTGATTCCTTCTGTTTTGTCTCATAGACTGGTTGGTTTATGACTACTGGTTATAATAGATTCTTGAGTTCATAGCCAACGACAAGCCTAAAATATTTTTTTTTTTTTTTTTTAATTTGGTATCTTTTCAGATTGTTTGCGGTTGTAGACGACATATTCTGCTTGTTTGAAGGCCACATTGAAAATGTTGCACATCTAAAGCAGCAATATGGATTGAACAAGACGGCAAACGAGGTTATTATCGTCATTGAGGCTTACCGGACATTGAGGGACAGAGGTCCTTATCCTGCAGATCAAGTTGTGAGAGATATTCAAGGGAAGTTTTCCTTCGTTCTCTTTGACGGTGCTTCCAAAGCCACATTCATTGCCTCTGTGAGTTTTCTCTTATCTTGTGCTGAAGATATCCTTTTTTTTTTTTTGGCATACTGCCTGGATGTATGATCTTTTCCTGACTTGTCTATCGCCGGTTTAACAAAACAAAGTAAATAAATAAATAAAAATGAAAACTTTAAAACATCTGAGCCTTAGTCGAATAGAAAGTCCCCATGACCATCTTGTAAGATTTGCTTGTTGTTTACTATTTGTGCTCTCTCAATGAGGAAAGATTTGTAATTTCGGTACATAATTGTTTTCTTTAATTAATTCAAAACTTTAAGGCAATTTTTTTTTATTATCCTTTGCCATTATGTTTTCTATTCTGGACTTGACTTTATCTGATGCTTTTTTAAAGGATGTTGATGGAAGTGTACCTTTATTCTGGGGGACTGATGCTGAAGGCCACCTTGTTCTTTCTAGTGATGGAGCCTTAGTGAAGCAAGGTTGTGGAAAATCGATTGCTCCGTTTCCCAAAGGTATCGTATTCCTTAACTAATGTCTATACTTTTCTCCCTTGTGTTTCATGTGTGTGTAGCCTTCGCATAAAAGGTTGGCCCTGAAGTTGCAAAAACCCATCACGATGTTAATAACTGCATTTGAGCTTTGTGATAATTGGGTAACTAAAATTTGAAATGATTGAGACTTTCAAGTAGCCGAAGAAGGTTTTTCTACGCATGAGTCATGACAAATGAAATTATGACATCTATATTGTTGATATTGTTCTGGGGTTGAATAAGTTTCGGGTTGTTTTGAATGATCCTTTGGTCTCCCATATGAATAAATGAGGCCTCGTTCTTTACTTGTGTTTAAAGTTTTGAGAAACGAGAGGGACAATGTAATGTGATTGGTAAACAGAAAGACGTTCTTGGCTTTTGGTTTGGGGTTCTAAAACTGAAGTTATTATCTATAGTGGTGGGAAAATGAAATGTACTTTGGCACGAGCACATATTTTTCCGAAAGAATGCATGTTATGTACATTTGCCCCTGTAATTTTATTTACAAGTGACATTTGCCTCTGTAAATTTATTTACAAGCCTGTCTTATGACATTTGTCTCCGTAATTTTATTTACAAGCCTGTTTTATGAGTTTCAATACATTTGCCTATGTAATTTTAATTTAGAGACTTTTTGTCCTTTTCCTTCAGGATGCTTCTTCACATCCTCGGGAGGCCTGAGGAGTTACGAGCATCCAGTGAACGAGCTGAAAGCTGTGCCGAGGGTTGACAGCTCGGGCGAAGTCTGTGGCCTAACCTTCAAGGTCGATGCTGACTCACGCAAGGACAAAACCAGCATGCCAAGGGTGGGAAGTGATGCCAATTGGTCCCAACACTACTGAAAGTCTGAAGAAACAACACTTACTCTTAATCACTCGCTCTACTTATCAACAAGCTTGTGGTTACTTATCTGGCCTTTGAAGGAGTAATTCACTATCTCTGATGTTCCTGTAAAACGGGTCGTTTGCCATTTTATATGGTCATGAAAACATAATTATAATAATCACGCTTGTGTTTCCGTACTGATTGTGCATGTATTGTGGGCTTTGTGTTACGTTTTTCACTTGATTATGTTTCGTTTTGTTTCGATAACCTCCCAAGTCGGGTCGATTTGCTATGGATGCTACCATGAAATATTCCGAGTGTGGAGTACGATTAACAACTATGAGATATATTTACATGGAACCATTCTGTAGTTTATTGTGTGGTTTTCAAATGCATGGAGTTGCTAATAAGTTTAGGTCATGCCTGCTTTTCCTAGACAAGCCAAGATTATACTCGTAATCTTGGCCTAGTCTTGTGTTTGTTTTATAGACAAAGGCCCGCAAGATATCTCATGCCCAGAGATTGTACATTGTACAGTAACTTATCTACTTTTCATCAGATTATTGAATCTTGTGTTGTGGGGAAAGATTGTTTAAACCTCTACAATACTTGCATGATCAATTGACTATATAATCCTCATAAACTACAAAATGATCCAATTTTACCCTCCATATTCATATAATTACAACTGAAAATAGCATACTAATTGACACCTTAATATGGTCTCCGAAATTATTTTTACATTTTTGTACCTACTTTCACAGTTCAAGAAAATTGTAAAATCTGGTCTCAGACATGAATATTTCTATTTAATTGGGACAACATGCATATGTGTTTGATAATAGGCGTAACCATGGATATATTGAATCGGAGGAGATGGAAGTACTCATGAACATTAAGGAGATAATAAATCTACTGAAAGTTATGATGTTGTTTGCTTGCATATATGTTAGATATCGACAAAGAAACGCTAATAGAAATATGAAGAGTCGAAGCACACAGTCAAAATGCCAACCCGACTTCCTTCCCAAATAGAACACATGACACAATTGATAGGTGATAGTGACATAACTTGTGTGCAATCGTCTGAACCAAAATGCATTTGGTCGATTATGTTATCTATTACAACATGTGGGCAAGTTAAAAAACTGAAAAAATGTTGAATTAAGTGTACAAACTGCCATATTTGTTGGTGTCTTAGCACATCATAAAAAAGACCTACCTTATTTTATGATATGCTCGTCAACCCCGCTATAGTCTTTCTTATCAGTCATGGGAAGGCTAAGACAGATAGGCTAGGGGTAAGCAGACTACCTTCTTAACGAGCAGGCGAAAGGAAAGGACGAGTGTTGTGGTTAAGTTAATTTTAAAAGGTCGGGTCAAACTATTAGCAAATTATTTCATCATGTTTTGAACATCGTACTACGTTTGCATTATCTACTCGTTGTTTAACTGGTTCAAGTGAAAGATGGCAACGATACTTGAGGTGGAAATGGTTTAAGGTGACCTCCTTTAAACTTTTTAAACAACATTATTCATTAATAACTACATACACACTTTCTTCTTGCTTGAATTTTTCACTTATTATTTTTATGAATAACGATTAGGGATGCTTGGTAGCATTGAATGGAACATATATTCCAGTGCAATTACAAGAAGTCAGTTAGCATGGAACCGAGATAGTAAATGGTCGTATTTAATGTGTCGTGAGGAGATCCACGTACATAAATAAATGCGACTATTTATAGTGCTTTTCGTCTCGTCTTTTGAGGTAGATTCGACGGTATTAAATGTGAGATGACCTCATAGGGACGACTACTATGCATGGGTACCCATCCATAATGATTAGAGCATGTGCAACTGGCGGCCGACTGACAAGAATCTTGTCAATGTCGGATCGACCTCGGATTACCGGAATTCAGTCTCAGGACTCTTTATTGAAGTCGAGATTCACCCCATTGACGAGGTCGAAATACTTCATCTCTCATGCTATCTTTTCTCAAGTCGTCTCTTTTCATTGATACTTTTATCCGATCCAATATTTATGACTAATCTTCCACGTGGTATCTTCTGACTGAGGGCTCCAGGTCGATATCTACATAAAGGCCCATGACATTAGGAGGGATATGAATAGTAGTGACTTATGATGTCATTTTTCAAAACCGTCAAGACCGACCTGGCATATCTTCGATCATTCTAATGTCTAGCCCCTTGAATTTAATTTTTGTTCAATGTCTGTTGAAATGAAGTGGTGTGACAGTTACAAAAAATCGTTCTAGTTACGAAAAGACACATTCGCTTTTAATGCGTACAACGGACATGAAAAACGGTCCCACATTCACTCGACGGTTTTACACGTGTCTGTCGCGGATTGGGCCATCTATCTTAATGAGGAAATTCGAAATGCCTCATTTGAAGGGCACGTATGTTGCACACGTCTTTTCCCAACGACTCTTTTAGCCTACTTATAAATATTAATTCCCCACCTCTTTTGAAACTTTATGTTGGCTATTCTTGAATTTCATATCTTTCTTGGCTTAATCTTGTGCTTTCAATTGAAGGCGAGTCTTCTTGCAATCTTTCAAACATGGTCTTTCTATGTCTCCGGTAAGATTCAATTTTAATTCTTCCTTTTTCCATTTTTTACAATTTTAGTTTGAAATTCCTTCCATTCGAAACGAGATGACGACAACAGAGGTGGAGCAAACCACCTCCAGTAGTAGCAGAACGATGTTGGACGAGAACGTCAATTTGGAGTTGGCAATGGAATATTATCGATGGGATCCTGTATTAGTCGAGCACCTGGATATCAGGAGAAATAACAATGAGGGCGATCTCGAAGTTGAGAGAGATATTCCAGTCCTAGATGGGTACTGGAGGCGACCGGCACACCAATGGCCTGATGCCGACGTCCTATTTTTGGGAGAACCCAGCATGATGTCTAATGCCGGCGTCGTAGCCCTTCGAGAAACCGTCCAATTCCCCTCTTCGGTGAAATTTTCGTCCCTTACCCAGGGGAGAGGATACACTGTCCTCCTTCTGGTTGTGTCGACATTTACGCAAAAAGTCTGAGGTCGGGTTTCAGATTTCCACTGCACAACGTCATCACTGACTATCTATGAGATTGGGAACTCGCTCTCAGCCAGATTTCACCCAATAGCTGGAAGAAAATAATCACACTCTTGGTCTTGCATGCTCAAAATGATTGGCCGCTTCTTACAATGGAAGAGATGAGGAGCATTTTCTTCTTGAAGAGAAGCCGAGAACGAATTGGCATGCCACAGAGCGGCTGCTTCTTTTGCGCAACAAAACCGCAAGAGAAGGTTAAGGTCAGAGACTTGATTACCAAAATCCTAGACACTCTACGATTTTCAAGAGGAGTGGCTATGGGTCGGTGGAGATTGACAATCGACCGACTTCTTTTGCGAGACTCCGATTGACGGGATGACTCACTCGTGTTGTTTCTGTTTATTGTAAGTTTATTTTTGTTATTGAGCTATTCTAATGACTTGTTGTTTTCCACTAACAGGTTGGAACTTTTTGTGTTTGTAGCCAAGAGGAAGAAAGATCCTAAGCTTAGCGGAGAGTTTAAAGAACGACTCCAGGAACTCGCACAACTTAGTGAATCAAAACAGAATTACCACCGACTGCTCAAGGATTCCGCGTTCGCTTCAGCGGGTTTAACTTCGGGTGTAATCAACCATGATTTCGATCCTGGTAAATTATCTTTTTGTCAGTGACCCCGACTACTTTTACTTGGTCCTATATTTGTCACTGTTTTGATCCACATTCTCGTTTTCTCTTCGTAGTCTATTACTCAATACTTGGATTCTTTGGGTTTAAGTTGGTCCAAGATGCCAATAATTTTGTAATAAGTATTCGAATTACGACAAAAACAAAGAGAAGAAAACATCCAAGATGAGACGCATGCTAATGGTGTAGAGACTGAAGAAGAAGAGTGTCGACGAACAAAGTTCTGCCAGTGCTGGTGCAAGTGCAAGCTCGGGCGCAATCGTCCGCGGCGCAACGCCGAGTCAGACAATTGGGCTCGCGTCGATCTTGGTCCCAGCCATCGGAACTTAGGTGACGACGTCGGGGCCCACCCCTCTAGTCGAGGCTGAGAAGACGTTGGGGCTTGTGCGTCCTGATTTACAAGTGGTTCTGTTGAGCTTGGAAGAGACTGAGGTCGGGAAGGAGACTGCAGAAGACCTCTTACTTCAAAAGAAGAGGAGGTCGGCCAGTGACCCCTTTCTTGGGGAGAAGAAAGAACAAAGAAGAGGCAGGATGCCGACTTACAAAGGAAGAGAATGTCCCAATCCACCAACGTGAGAACAAGTCGTACTTGTCCATTGACGAGAAGGTGCTTAACCTAAATCTGCCTAAAGGTGTTATGGAAGACTAGTATAACTACTTTCATTCTGTAGAGTTTCCAGAGCTGCCAACAATGTTCGCCAACCGCTACATGTGATGGATGCTGCTCGGATCCCTATGATGTCATGGGATCCGATTTCGTAAACGAGGATGTCTGCTAGGGTGTTCTCGGTCCGGTTTTAACCGAAACAAACCGTCAATTCAGACCGCGGATCGATTAAATGGTCGGTTAAAAAAGCCTTAAAAAATCCGGTAGTTAATTTTTTTAAAAATCTAGAATAATCGGCCTGTTTAAGGGATTACCTGCAGCAAACCACCGGTTTAACCGGACCGGACCGGTAAATATTAAAAAACTATAACAAATATATATATATATACATTCAGTCATTCACTATGGACGAGAAATGCAATACATTCACTTTCACTTTTTGGCATTTTATTGACTTAATTTTGTAAGACACTATAACGTTTCACTTTTTTCCATTTTTGTATTTTTATGCTTATGGGGCGAAATGTGTATTTTTATTCTTATGGGACAGATTGTGTATTTTTTATTTCATTATTGTTGTTTTTCTTAATTTTTAGGCCCAAATGATCTCTTTTGGGCCCAAAATTGAAAAATAGAAATTAAGCCCAAAATAAAAAAAATAAAATTTAAAAGCCCAAAACAAGGATTTTGGATTTAACCAGTTAATCGCCAAACTGGACCATCCAATGCGGTTCGGATTGTGACCGGTTAAAAAATAAAACATGTCCGATTATGGACAAGAAAAAAATTATTCATAAGGTCCGGTTTGGTCATGGTTTGGGCTAAAACCGGACCAATCCGGACCGTGAACACCCCTAATGTCTGCCCTGCCAAGCACTCACAAATTCAGCTATGTTAAGGCTTGTCGAGGGAGATCCTTAGTGAGTCTTGTCGCTGCTGAGGATGAATTCCATTCAAATGCCTCTGAGCTTAGCGATAAGAAGGATAAGGTGGTGCTTCGTGATGGCCAAATCGCATCTTTAGAATCGAAAGCAACCAGCCTTAAATCTAAGGTGGATGTGAAGAATGATCAGATGCGGGTGGCGCATGAAGTGATAGAGCTTCTGATGGCCGAAAAGAAGCGACTTGAAGCCGAGGTCCATAAACTTGGCGATCAGCTTGACGTTTTTGAACAATCCGCCAAACAGAATGTGGAGCGGTTCCTAAAAGAGCACGATGAACACCTAAGGACACACTAGGATTGCTTTGACAAAGAGGCTCAATTGCTCTAGATGAAGGAGGCCCGTGACTCGAGTTGGTGAAGTATGAAGAAGAGAAGGTTGCCCACAGCGAACTCATGTATTAAAAATGAGATTCTTCGTTAAAAATATAACAAAAAAGTCTCCTCCACTTACTCTCATCTTATCAAATAGAAGCTCCTCCACTTAGATGTACTTGAGAGAAGTTTATCTAACAATGCAATTAAAGGAGCTAGAAACATATGTTGGGAGCAAAAGATTAAAGGTACTCTAAAACATTTTTTATGAAAATGCTTCTCACGACTATTACCTGTTACGGTGAACTTGATGAAAAGAGGTCTGTATATTGATGTTCTATGCTCTTACTGTGGTGAGTCAGCTAAAACAATTGAACATGTGTCTCTACATTGTCCTAGAGCTATAATGATGTGGAAGATGGCTCCTGTTAACTGGGATGATGTCTGTATTGATGGTTGCTCCTTTTAGACTTGGTGGTGGCAAATTTGTTCCATTGATTGCTCCCATGTAGCAGAAGATAGGATACAACTCACAACATACCTTCTATGGTGGTTTGGAAGTCGAGGAACCTATCTTTGAAGAGGAAAAACATCCTATACCTGTGGTGATCAAAGCTGCACGCACGGAATGGATTGAATTCTCCACTGTCAAGTCTGGTGCTGTTTCTTATTAGTTATGGTTTAGTTGAGTTTTTCTGGTTGTTTTTTGTTTATTTAGTGGTTGTTTATGTTGAAGTTGGTACTCTAACTAGGCATTTAAGGCAGTGGTTAGTTGTACCTTTTTCTTTTGTTTATTTCAATTTCTAATACGTTGTTTATCTTTTAAGTTCTAGGCCGCTTGTACACGTGTGCTCCCATTTTTCATTTAGGTTCAGTTGGTGTGTTGCTTGTAGAACATTGTTCCCTATTCAGTTATAATTTACTTTTATTGTTTCA